TGTGAATTTGTGGCCAGCCTGGTCTACAGAGTGAGTTCCAGGCCAGCTGGGGCTACAGGGTGACCTTGTCTCAAAAAGACCAAAAAGAAATTTATTTATTATTTTTATTTTATGTGTATGATTGTATTGCCTGCATGTGTATAAGTGCACCTGTGTTGTACAATGCACTCAGAGGTCAGAAGAGGGTGTTGGAGCCCCTGGAACTGGAGTTATGGATGGTTGTTAGCCACCACGTGGGTGCTGGGAATCGAACCCAGGTCCTCTGCTCTTAACCGCTGAGCCATCTCTCCAGCTCCCAATATTCAGTTTTCTTCAAATGCTTGGCAGATTTCACAGATGAAACTACCTAGGTCTGGAGCTCTCTTTAGTTAAAGGCCCTTTTAACATATTTACTAGATAGAGGGTTATTTCATTTTTCCTCCTTTTAAACTTTAGTAATGTGTGTCTGTATTCAGCTCTCTGCACAAAAATACTGTGCATGAATATTATTAAAAAGGAGGATTTATTAGGTTAGTTTACGTTCTCGGAGGCTGGGTACTACCACAATGACCATCTGCATGCCTAACAGCCAGAAAACCCAACAGCAACTCAGTCTAAGGTGCCGGAAGCCTGACGCTGGGTGTGATGCTGTGTGCAGTGGTGGCCGCGGTAGACGGACCTGCTCTGAAGGAGCTCACACTGCCTGGCTCTTACTGCTTTATTCCATCCAGGCCCCCACCCCTAGGATGCTGCTGCCCACACTTGGGGCAAGTCTTTCCCTCTGTGAAGACACCCTCACAGATAGACCCAGATGTGTGTTTTGCTGATTGATCCCTTAGTCATCTCCCATAGTAGTCAAGTCGACAGTCGAGATGAACCATGGCAGGAAGTTATCCGTATTTATTATCATTCTGATAGTTAGGCAGTCTATAATGATACTGTCTCATCTGTCATGTTACTGTGGTAAAACTCCCTGACTAAAACAACCTGTAGGGGAGAAAGGGTTTATTTCAGTTCACAGCTCCAGGTTACAGTCCATCGCTGTGGGGAAGCCTCAGTGATAGGAGCTTGAGGGAGCTGCTCACGTGGCATCACAGTCAGGAACAGAGGGCAGGGAATGCACACCAGTGCTTGACTCTCTTTTTTTACTCTTTTTTTTTTTTTTTTTTTTTTTTTTGAGACAGGGTCTCCCCGTAGCCCCAGCAGGACTGGAACTCACTATGTAGACCTGGCTGGCCTTGAACTCACAGAGATCTGCCTGCCTCGGCCTCCCGAGTGCTAGGACTAAAGGTGTGCACCACGGCACCCAGCCATCCTTTTTTTTTTTTAATTTTATGTCTATGGGTGTATTGCCTGCATGAGTGTAAGTGCACCTGTGTCGTGCAGTGCCCTTGGAGGTCAGAAGAGGGCTTCAGATTCCCTGGAACTGGAGTTATGGACGGTTGTTGGCCACCATGTGGGTATTGGGAATTGAACCCAGGTCCTCTGCAAGAGCAGCTGGTGCTCTTCACTGCTGAGCCTTCTCTCCAGCCCCCTTTCTTCATTCTCACACAGTTCAGGTTCCCCTGCCTAGGGAATGGTGTCATCCACAGTGGCATGTCTTCTTGCAGTTAGCATAATCAAGAAATCAGTATCCACTGAGCTTTACATCATGATTTCTCTCTCCGTCTCTCCATCTGTGGACGCACGTTAGCGCCACATCCCGGCTGCTGTGGACAGTACTGTGATGCGTGGGAGCAGAGGTCTTTTCGGCAGGCTGATTTCAGCTCCATTAGATATACTCTCAGAGGTACGGTGGGATTGTTGCACCACACAGTGGCTCTATCTTCAGTTTTTTTGTAACAGATGCACTGATTTACATTCCCTCCGGTAGCTGCATCCGTACTGACACCTGTCGCCTGTGGTCTCTTGGAATAACAGGTGGCTCTGCAGTTAGTTCTGAGCATTTGCTTGTGCTGTGTCCCAAGTTGCTTTCTGCTTCAAACTTCTTCCCTGTCACTGAGCTTCTGGAGTCCCTGGAGCAGGTTAACCCTTGCTTCTGCACGCTTTTCTGTCCTCCACCTCTCTGTGCATTGGGAACCCCAGTCATACGCACGATGGGCTACCTGACTGGGTCCCACATGCTAAGTTATTGTTCTCTCTCTCTCCCTCCCTCCCTCCCCCCTCTCTCTCGACACATTTTGGATAATTTTATTGCTCTCTCTCTCCCTCCCTCCTCTCTCTCTCTCTCTCTCTCTCTCTCTCTCTCTCTCTCTCTCTCTCCCTCTCCCTCTCCCTCTCCCTCTCCCTCTCTCCCCCCCTCCTGACACATTTTGGATAATTTTACTGCTATGTCTTTAAGTTTGCTGACCTTTCCTTCTGCAATGTCTAATCTAATCCACGTGGCATTCCATTCCAAATGTAGTTTCTGTCACCCACACCATGATTGATTCTTTCTTTGCCCTTGTCTCTACCCAACATGCCCTGTCTTCTGTCCTGATTTTTGGAGTATTGCCAGAATAACGTTTTACATCTTGACTGCAGATTCTATCATCTGTATTATTTCTGGGTCCCTTTTTGTCCATTTCTCTTCTCATCATGGGCCAAAATTTCTGTTTGAATGCCTTGTAATTTTTTTATTGGGTGCAACATATTGTGAATGCTGTTATGCAGTGGACATTTTTGAATTCCTAAAAATATCCTCAAGCTTTGTTCTAAGATGCAGTTAAGTGACTAGGAAAATGTACAAGACCTTTCAGGTCTTGTTTTAGCTTCGTGAGATGGAATAAATAGATTTCACATTACAGGTAATTTAAGCCTTGCTACCAAGGCAGCAACCTCCGAATGCTGGGCCTAATACCCCACATATCAGGAGTGTGTACTGTGTAGGGAGAGGAGGAGGGAGCTGGCCCTGTGTGTGCAGCGTTCTGCTGCGGGGATATCTTTTCATGGTTGATTTTTGTTTTGTTGGGTTTTTGTACTTTTTAACTTTATTTACTATTACTGTGTATCTGAAGAGAGAGACAGAGAGAGAGAGAGAGAGAGAGAGAGAGAGAGAGAGGAGAGAGAAGAGAGGGGAGAGAGAGCAGGCTATGCACATCTGGAGGTCAGTGAACAAGTTTTAAGTGTCAGTTCTCTCCTACCACTTTGGAGTCCAGGGATCAAACTCAGGACATCAGACTAGCACAGTGCTGATCCATTCAGCCAGCATTTTGTTTTGTTTTGTTTTGAGACAGGGTCTTGGTCTGTAGCCCAGGCTGGCCTGGACCTTGCTGTGTAGTCCAGGCTGGCCTCAAACTCCCTCACGTATTAAAGGGCATCTTTGCTGTTTCCAATTTTGAGCAATTAAAGACTAAAGCTCTGGTGGCAGGGGGCGGGGGGCTGAAGAGATGGCTCAAAAGTTAAAAGCACTGGCTGCTCTTGCAGAGGGCCTGAGTTTATTTCCCAGAACTGACATGGAACCTCGTAACCATCTTACTCCAGTTACAGGGGATCCAGTGCCCTCTTCTGGCCTCCACAGGTACTGCACTCATGTGGAACATTGGCATACTTATACCCATACTTATATAAGCCTAGATATTTATACCCATAAAATAAAAATAAATAAATTTTGAAAAATAACAAAGTTTCTGGGACTGGGGAGGGGGCTCTGAGGGTAAAAGTTCTTGTCTTGCAAGCACAAGAACCTGAGTTCAAAACCCCAGAACACATGTTTTGAAAAAAGCCAGATGCCGTAGCCGTGGCTATAAACCCAATGCTCCTGTGGAAGAAGAGTCAGGAGAGTCCCCAGATGCTCAGGGGCCAGATGGCTGGTGAGTGCAGGAATGGACAACAGAAGAGAGAGACCGTCTCAAACAAGGTGGACAGCAAGGACAGACACCCAAGGCTCTCCTCAGACCTCCACCCACAAACATGCACACACACACACACACACACACACACACACACACACACACACGTGAGTTTTTTCAAAAAGAACAAAGCTGATAAAAACACTAATGTGTTGGTTTTTGTGTGGATCTGTTTCCAAGTCCATTGGGTAAACTAAAGGTGGAAATGTTAGGTCCTCTGCAAGAGTCAGTGCTCTTAACCACCCCGCAATATGTCCAGCCCTCGTGGCATTTCAACTGAGTTTTTTAATTTTTAATGTATTTTTATTTATTTTTATTTTATGTGTATGAGTGTTTTGCCTGCAGGTATGTATGTGCATCATGTGTGTACAATGCCTGCAGAGGCCAGAAGAGAGCATTGGATCCCTTTGAAGTGGAGTCATAGTTATTAGTTGCCATGTGGGTGCTGGCAACCTAACCTGGGTCCTCTTCAAGAGCAGCCCGTGGACTTAACCTCTGAGCCAGCTCTCCAGCCCATTTTCTTATTGTTTACGTTTAAGATATCTTTGTATATTTTGGATATGGACTTTTGTTAAATAGGTTTTTGAAAGTATTTTCCCTGAGGCTGATTGTCTTTTTATCCCTCTGCCCACCTCTCTCTTCCTCTCTCCCTTCTCTTCTCTTTCCCTCATCTCTCGCTCTGTCTCACTCCTAGCACACGCTCTTCTCTCTCCCTCTTCTCTCTTGCTCTTTCTTTCTTTCCCCTTCCCCCTCTGTCCTTCTGTCCTACTATGTAGCTCAGGCCGACCTTGGGCTCACAGTCCTCCTGCCTCAGCCTCTGAGTGTTGGGGTTAAAAGCACGTCGCCACACCTAGCTCACATGAGTTTTTAGACCTTATACTGGTGCCTTGACTGAGTTAACGACAGGGAAACTGGAAGACAGCAAGCAAACAAAACAGTGAGTTTTATGTGAGGTATGGGGCCTGGGGGCTGGGCCCAGGTAGAGGTCCTATGACATAGCTTCTGAGGAGCTGGAGCCTAGGGTGCCAGACTGGGGACTAAGGACTTCAGCACTGTGGCAGCCATTACAGGGCGGGCTCAAGAGGGCCGCCTGTCCACATTGCAAATTCCCTTCTATTCGAATCATCTTGCCCCTGATTCTGACACAGATGGTGACACTCGAGTTTCACGCCTTTCCTCTTCTTTCCATAGACACCCTCTCTCCAGCTTCCAGTCCATCCTCAGTCAGCTGCCCTGTGGTCCCAGGCTGCACGGATGAGTCCCCGAGTGGCATGCTGAACATCGAGTGTCGAATCTGTGGGGACAAGGCCTCGGGCTACCACTATGGCGTCCATGCGTGTGAAGGCTGCAAGGTATAGAGGCCTCAGGCAGAGGACAAAGTGGACAAAGTGGCCACAAGACCCTAAGACTTTGCTGCTCTGCAAAGATGACTGTCAACGCCCGCCCACCCACCCCACACACACGAGACCTGCAGAAAGAGCAGGAAACAGACCCAAGTGACAGGTCAACTTCTCTCTTCAGGGTCCAAGGCAGATAGCTCTGCTGCACTGTGTAAACAATCAAGAGAAGTGTGCCCTTTGAAAACGTCAGCCACATTAAGACTGACACTTGCCATGACACAAAGTGTAGGCCATTTCCCCGCTTACCTTGCGACCGCCCCAGAGGCCGGCTAGAGCAGAGGTCACCATGCAGCAGGAAGGGGCTGGCCGTCGCTGCGTCCTGTCCCTTGCTCAGAGTCCACAGTATCTAGTGGCACTGCTGCTGTGCTTGACCCCCATCCCTCCTTGCCTTACCTCTCCTCTCCACAGCTACCTGTACCCTCATCCTCACGATGGCCAACTTGACCTCCAGCCAGGCATGGCCTGGGCCCCAAGTACATGAAGTGAGCCCTGTTGGTGCTCTCTCGTTGTGTTCTTTCAGGGCCACACGTACATTCTCAAGTCCAGCACTTCATGAAACCATACATGGGAGAGTCAGAAGTGTTTGCTTACAAAGGCTCCCTTCTTTATGTCTTCTGGAGGCGTTATCACTTTGGGAGAATATCACAGACCTTTCTTCTACCTGTGTCCCTGAAGCACTGTGCTCTGATCCTGGCTGGGCTTTATCTTGGAGGCCGGCCTGGCCCATGGAAGCAGTGAGTCCCAGATGCAGGGCATGATGGTCCCTGGCACTCACAACCCTTGCTTTTTACCCTTTGTTGCTATCCCACACATTCTCCCACCATCCTGCCTTACACACCTAGATGGGGAACTGGAGTAAAGACTCAGCCTTCCTCTCCTGGGCCCCGAGAAATTGCTGACTCTTTCAGCATGGGCCACGGAAGCCCACTGTGTTAGCCTCCCCTGTGTCAGGAAGGAGAACTTTAGAGCAAAACAAAGGACCAAAAGCCAAAATAAACCCCTCAAGTTTTCCAGCCACACACCTTTTAAAAGGCAGGTTTCATCAAGGCAGTGGTCTGATTGCCTTTGTGTAGTTTTGACTTGTGTGGACTCCCTTAGATGAAGTTGTTTCTTCCTGGGTAAAACCTTAATGCCGATAAAGCAAGAACATTGTTTCCAAATATGTGGTTTCCTTTTGTCATAATTTTTTTTCTTTGGGGGAGTTAATATTAATCTTAGAAAAATTCCTAGAAAATTCTTTATCACAAATGTGGTTATGTCAAGGAGAGGAGGGTTACATTTGTATACAGGAAGTGAGGCTGAGTATCTCAGAAAACTATCATTATGTCTTCCCCAAGCTGGTAGGGCTATTGCAAGATCACTCTGAATTCTGCCTTGATTCATTGTTTTCCATTTTAACTGCAAGGAGATACAAGTTTTCTGTTTGTCCCAGTTACACAAGACTTTGTAAGAGAACTGTTTCTCAGCATATAGTTTATTTAGAAAGAGACAGAGCAGCAGGTGCAGCTCAGTAGGTAGAGCGCTTACCCAGCAACATGAAGCCCTGGGCTTGATCCCTAGTACCACACAAAACCAGGCATGGTCGTGCTCATCCAAGCACCAGCACTTGGAAGGTGGAGGCAGGAAGATCAAGAGTTTAAGGTCATCTTTGGCCAGATAGCAAGTTCTAGGCCAGGCTGGGCTATGTGAGACCCTATCTCTAGAGAGATAGATGGTAAATCAATACCAGATAGATAAATGGATGGATGGATGGATGGATAGATGATAGATTGATAGATGATAGATATAAATAGATGATAGATAGATAGATAGATAATAGATAGATGATAGAGATGGTAGATAGATGGATAGATTCTAGGTAAAAAGATAGATGATATATAGGTAGATAGATGTTAGATGATGGATAGATGGAAGATAGATAGATAGATAGATAGATAGATAGATAGATGATAGATAATGGATGGGTGCTAGATAGATGATGGATAGATGATGGATGGATAGATAAATAGATAGATGATAGATAGATAGATGATAGATGACAGATGATAGATGATAGATGCAAATAACAAGAAAAGTACGTTAAGCCAGTCTGATGACCTGTCCGTGGCCCACGTTAATACACTCTGCATTGATGGCACAGGGTTTCTTTCGGCGAACTATTCGCCTAAAGCTGGTGTACGACAAATGTGATCGGAGCTGCAAGATTCAGAAGAAGAATCGGAACAAGTGCCAATATTGTCGTTTCCACAAGTGCCTGTCCGTCGGGATGTCACACAATGGTAGGTAAGGTTGCCAAGCACAGTATGCCAGTCCATTCCTCAGTTTACCTCTCTTGATCAGTAAGAATGGACTATAATTTGGATGAGTGTGCAATAATGTTTAGCACCCAGATCACAGAAAATGTCTCAAACAGCTGGGGTTCAGCACTAAGAATTATCGTGGTACAACTGTGATGTAAACAAACGCCCTAGGAAGTCACTGGGGTGGGAGAATGGCCATGCCTCTGTGAAGTGTGTGAAGTGCATGCTGTTAGACATTGCACCGTACTCCGAGTTTCGGTGTGCTCAACCACACTAGTTTAGCTCATTCCTAATGAAGGGAAATCGAAAATGGGTGGTTAAGCCAGATGTAGTGGCACTAGTCTATAATCTCAGCACCTGGGAAGCTGAGGCAGGAGGATTGCTGCCTTCTCAAGGCTAGACCAGGTGCCTAGCAAATACCACAAGCCAGGGATACATGACAAGAACCTGTCTCAAAACAAACAAACAAACAAAACCAAAAACAACAAAAACAGGGCCTAGAGCGATGGCTTGGAGGTTAAGAGGACTGGCTGCTCTTCTAGAGGACCCAGGTTTGCTGCCCAGTACCATGTTGGACAGCTCACAAGCTCCTGTAACTCCAGCTCTAGGGAACCTGACGCCCTCTTCTGGCTTTTATGGGCACCAACATGCATGTGGCATACATTCATACAGACATATACATACACACACAAATAAAAATAATAAAAATTAAAGCTTTAAAGAAATAAAGCTGGAGATGTGGGTCAGTTGGTAGAGGGCTTCCCTAGCATGCATGAACCCTGGGTGTGATCACACTGCATAAGCCTGTGGTGGCACAGGCCTGTAAACTGAGCATTCAGGAGATGAGGCAGGATTAGAAGCTCAAGATCCTCTTCCAAGACATAGATTTGATTCCCAGCACCCACACAGCAGCTAACAACCGTCTACGACTCCAGTTCCAGGGGATCTGACTCCCTCTTCTGGCCTCTGTGGGGCAATGCACACATAGTGCACTTACATACGTGCAGGCAAAAGATCCACACACATAATTTTTTTAAAAAATTAGAGCTTTGGGGGCTGGAGAGATGGCTCAGCAGATAAGAACACTGACTGCTCTTGCAGAAGACCTGGGTTTGAATCCCAGCACCCACATGGCAGCTAACAACTGTCCATAACTCCAGTTCCAGGGAATCCGACAGTCTCTTCTGTCCTTCACGGGCATTGCACGACATGGGCCACTTACCTACATGCAGGCAATAAACGCATATACATAAAAATAATAAAATATGTTCTTAAAAAATTAGAGCTCTTGGGGCTGGAGAGATGGCTCAGCAGTTAAGAGCACTGATTGCTCTTGCATAGGACCCGGGTTCGATTCCCAGCACCCACATGGCGGCTATGAATCGTCCTTCACTCCAGTTCCAGGGGAATCCGAAGCCCTCTTCTGGCTGCCACAGCACTGCACAACACAGGTGCAATACACTCATACACATAAAGTAAAATAAATAGACGTCTGTTCTGTGCTGATAGCGGTCCTACAAACATGGTGAACATTCTTGAAACCAAACCCACTTTCTGCAGACAGTGTGGCTAGCACCAGTCTCACAACATAACACAGCACCAGAGCAAGGGCTCTCTGTGTGCCCAGGAAAAGCAGCATTATGACAGGAAGCAGAGTGGCCACCGTGGGCAGACTGAAAAAATAAACTACGAAGAAGATTGTGCTGAGGTTCGAGTGTGTTGAGCCCAACTGCAGATCTTAGAGAATGACTGCCGTTAAGAGATGTGAGCATCACGAATCATGTACTGGGAGGAAAGAGAAAGGGCCAGTGAGCTAGTTGGAAGCCAGTTTTGTTATGAAGGCAATGAAATCATGATATATTTAAAATACAGATAGATAGATAGATGATAGATAATTGATAGATTATTGCTAGCTGATAGATGAAAGGTAAATGATAGATAGATGATAGATGATTGGGAAATAGATTATTGATAGTTGATAGATGAAAGATAGATTCATGACAAATAGATGATAGATTATAGGTAGTTAGATGATTGATAGGTAGGTGATTGGTGGTTGATAAATGATAGATGATAGATGATAGATAGATAGATAGATAGATAGATAGATAGATAGATAGATAGATATAGATAGATAGATAGATATAGATAGATAGATGGTAGATGGGTGGATAATAGATAGATGATTAATAGTTGATAGATGATAAATTATTGGTAAGTAGATTATTGACAGTAGATGAAAGATAGATAACAAATAGGTGATAGAGATTATCGGTAGATAGATGATTGATAGGTAGGTGATTGGTAGTTGATAGATGATGGATGAATAGATAATAGGTAGATACATGATTGATAGCTAATTGATAAATATAGATGATAGATGATGGATAGATGATTGATAGATGACAGATAGATGATGGATCGATGGATGGCTGATAGGTGATTGACAGATGATCGATAGTTCACAGTCATCCCTTTCTCCTTAGGTCGATGACCTAGCTCACAGCGGCCACTGGTCATCTGCGTGACTGTGTTGCTTCCCTTTCTCCATAGTAGAAAGTTCAGCCGTAATGAGGCGTGCGTTTACCTTCCGTTAGCTCTCCGTCCGGGTCTCATGCCTGGTGTGAGCGTTCATTCATTCACCTGTCTTTGTCTCGGCCATCCCCCACCTTGTCTTTGTCTCGGCCATCCCCCACCTTGTCTTTGTCTCGGCCATCCCCCACCTTGTCTTTGTCTCGGCCATCCCCCACCTTGCTCACGTCTGTATCTCCCTCGGTCCCGTCCCCACCCCATCTCCAGCAATTCGTTTTGGGCGAATGCCGAGATCTGAAAAAGCCAAGCTGGAAGCAGAAACCCTGACCTGTGAACGTGAACGGGAGGACTCCGAGACTGCAGACCTCAAATCCCTGGCCAAGAGAATTCACGAGGCTTACCTGAAGAACTTCAATATGAACAAGGTCAAGGCCCGAGTCATCCTCGCGGGAAAGACCAGCAACAACCCAGTAGGTGCCCCTGCAGCCCTTTGGTGGCATCTTGAAGTGACCCTTGGCTCTGTGTTAGCCAGACTGGCAGGGAATGATTGAAGAAATTGTTTAAGTAGGGAAATAGTATTTATCCCAAAAGGAAAGGAAGGGCCATGGAACTATTCCAGATCATTCTATAAGGTGCAGCTTCACACCAACAGCTGCCTTCACGCCTGGGCTTGCCTCAGTGCTCCTAGCAACCAGGGTATTATAATGACTCTGTAATTGATACACCAAAAATAATCTAGTTAATACCTCACCCGGTATCTGGGTGTTTCTTAAGTACATTTTTAATCCCTATTGTAATCCCAGATATGAAACCCATTCGCTTCCCACTCAGAACGCTCCTTTATCCTTTCCCCTAGAGCCATTCTCCCTCTGTGCTGCCCTCCCTTCACCCCGACACCTGCCTTCTCTGTCACCTTGCTCTTTCTTCAGTGTGAAGGCATCATGGCTCAGGCCTTGGGAAGGGTCCTTTGTTTACAGGAAGCTGGTTGTGTTTGGGGGAAAGTTCTGCACCATCTCTGTGGCCCCAACTCCTATACCACCTGCCTGGCCCATGACCCACTGCCTTTACCCTACATAAGCCTAAATAAGCCCGAATCCATTGAGGGAGGATGTCAAAAGCCATTTCAAAGACGGGCCAGTTCTCTTGGCACACACAGACATCCTACCTTATTCCATGAGCTGGTTTAACAGGTTGAATTTGGGCTGAGTAATAGTTTGGAGCTTTCTCACTGGGAATTAGAAGCTAGAACTTTTAGTCACAGTGAAATAAAGGATTTCACAAACTACTTAGGTTCATGACAAGCCCAACCTCTCTTTTACTGAGTCTTTCCATTCTTCAGTGAATTCTCCAGTGAAATAAGGCTAGGCATTTTAGAAGGTCCCAGCACATTCCACGCCAGGTGGCCCCAGAGGCTCACACCAGCCTTTCTGGATCAGAGGGTGGAAGTTTGCATTTCTGTAATAACTAACCCCAAACTTGGGAATTCAGAGCTTCTACTTGAGACCTTTTATTTCTCCCTTGAACTTTGAAATTTAGAGTAAACTTAGGAGTCATCTTTATTTTTAACCCAATACTGTGCTTGGATGTTAATTTGATTATTTGATTCCCTCTGAGTTCCCTCTGATTTCTCCATAAAGATCTCCAAAAACTCTTAGTGGGGAGCCCACTGTCCTCTGTCAGAGTGGAGTAAATCAGGACTCACAAGGAAATGAATGATACAGCAATGGTCTTGGGGTGGGGGAGGGGTGTGACAATACAGGGAAGTGTTGGAAAGATGGCTCAGTGGGGACAGTGTTTGTGCTACAAGCATAAGAATCTGCGTTCGAATCCCCAGCACATACATAAAAGTCAGCTGTGGCGGAAATACCTGTAATCGGTGCTGGAGAGGCAGAGACGGAGGATCACTGGGATTGCTGGCCAGTCAGCCTAGCTATGTCAGGAAGTTCCAGGTTCAGTGAGAAACCCTGTCTCAAAACATACAGTAGAGATTGATTAAGGAAGACCATCTATGTCAACCTCTAGCCTCCTTGAGCACCTGCATACACCCGTGCACCACACGAATATGTGTACACACACATACACACACACATACACACACACACACACATCCAAATGGCTTAGGGCAGCCAAATCCTGTTCCTGCTACACACGTCTACACAGGACCAACTTCAGAAGCAGTATCCAGCAGCTTTTGACCTACACTGTTGGCTCCAGACCAGGGTCACCTCCCATCTAGATCCTGTGTCATGTCAGAGGTCTAGCCTCCTCATCTTCCTGCCCAGCCTGCTGGCTAGCTTCCCAGAGCTTACTGCTCCGGTGTGAGACCCCCATCCCTGTCTGTGCCCAGCCTGGGAAATGCCAGGCAGTGAGGCTCCCACCAGCAGCTTCAGTGCCCTAGTATTTCTGCAGAGTTCCAGTCTTGTTGCTGCAGTGAGAATAGAGAGGCCACGGTCTGTGTGTTTTACCCAATGGAGAAAGCAGTCCCTTCTGAGGGTGGGAGGTCCATCAGGGAGACCAGGATTCAGCCCTGATGTATCTAACTTGGCCTGTTGCCCAGTGCCCCAATACTTAGTGATGGTTCATCAGGTTCCAGGCTGGGATGACCAAACAGCCCCGGAGGGGCCCCAACAGAACATCAGTGAGGCACACCAGCCGTCACCTGCAGCTGGGCCCCTTTCTCATTGCGGTGGAAAGAATAAAGGATGTGTTTAGAGCTGGGCGCAGTGGCCACGCCTTTAGTCCCAGCGCTCGGGAGGCAGAGGCAGGCAGATCTCTATGAGATCAAGGCCAGCCTGGTCTACATAGTGAGTTCCAGGCCAGCTGGGGCTACAGGGAGACCCTGTCTTAAAAATACCAAAAAAAAAAAAAAAAAAAAGAAAGAAAAAAAGAAAAAAAGAAAAAAACCCATATTCAGAATAGATATTTAATTATTAAAAACATTTTAAATTTATTTATTTATTTTGTGTGAGTGTGTGTGTGTGTGTGTGTGTGTGTGTGTGTGTGTGTGTGGTGTACATGCACATGTGGCATGGCATGCGTGTGGAGTCAGATGACAACCCAAAGGAGTTGGTTCCCTCCTTCCACTGTGCGGGTCCCAGGGATTGAACTCAGATCGTCAGACCTGTCACCTTTACCCACCAAGCCATAGCACCTGCCCTATAATTTTTTTTTTTTTATCCGAGAGTATTGGATTTGGAGGTTGTAGAATCCTTGAATACAAAGGACCCACTCTATTTCTGTAGTGCCTCCTGTGAATGTTGTCCTCAAATTGGAGTTTCTGTTTCGTGTGAAGCATAGCTATCCAAAACAGTATTTATCAGGCCTGTTGTTAACGCTTTGGGAAGCAACTTTGTCTTCTCTTCTGAGACGAGATGGCTGCTCCTCCATGACTTGGCGCTGAGCTTTGCCTCTGGATGTTTCCACTCATTCATGGGTCATTTTAAATTCCTCTTCCTCAATATGGAATCACATTTTTGGTCCAGCTCTACATAAACGCCTCACAACAATTGCTTATCCCTACACGTCCTCCTTTGTCTCTGTGCCAGGTGCATCCCAGGTGCCCTGGCTGTGTATCTGCCTGTGGTTCCTGGAGCTGCTCTGACAGCCCAGACTGGGGGCCAGGCACCTCCCAGGTGATCTGTTCTGCCCACCAACAGGTGACACTTAGAATGGCCACTTCATTAGTGAGCTAGTATGCATGCATGTGTGTGTATGTGAGTGTGACAGACAAAGACAGAGACAATGTGCGGGAAAGACCGTGCCATGCAATAAATCAGAATCCCTTGGGTGCTGTCATTTCTGCCACATGGCACGTGGATGGCCAGTGACAAGGTTCATGCTGGCTCTCCTCAGACACCCCCGACATTTAACCCTTCTGGGCTTAGTGACTGCAAAAACATGGCAATCCCTGTTCTGCCACCACTAGGTCATTCTTTTAACATTTTAAACTTTAATTGCACACATTTACAGGATAGGGTATGCAAATGAGGTACAAATACAAAATGGGTACTGATCAAAGCAGAGGAGCATGCCCATCATCTTACATACCTGTTATCATGTGTCAAGAAACTAAAATTCCCCTTAAACTCCTTACAGAATGTGTAATGCATCTGGTATCAACAGCACCAGGTATGGAACACTAGGACCTGTTCCTTCTGTCTAACTGGATTTCGGAGCCCATTATCAGACCACCCTCTGTCCCCGCCACCTTCTCTCCAAATTCTCTGCTAACTACTGCCCTGCTCTGTTCCTGTGAGATCAATGCCTTTAGCTTCCGTGTGAGTGAGAACACGCGGTGTTTGTCTGTCCAGGCTTGCTTTCTTTCACGTAACATGGTCTCCCCCAGTCACATTCACTTGGGCACAAATAGTGTGTAGGGTTCCCTTCTTTTTGTGGCTGAATGATATTCTGTTGAGTATGTGTGCCACATTTCTCTATATCTGCTCATCTGCTGGTGGACACCCTGGTTGGTTCATGCCACATCTTGGCTGTTGGGAATGGTGTGGCAGTAGCTATGCAGATGTGGAATGTCATATAATTTCATTTCCTTTGGATACTGTGTTAGTTACATTTCCCATTGCTATGAAAAAATACCCAACAAAAGCAACTTAAGGAAAGCTTTCTTTTAGCTCACAGTTCCAAGGCGTGTCCATCATGACACGGAAGGCACGGTGGTGGGAGCATGCAGCAGCTGGTCACGTTGTGTACGCAGTCAAGAAGCAGAGAGAGGTGGATGCTGATGCTCACTGGCTTTCTCCTTTTAATTCAGTCTGAGCCCCAGCCATGAAGTGATCCACCCACAGTCAGGGAGGTCCTTCCCACTCAGTTAAACCTCTCTGGAAAGGTCCTCGCAGACTCCCTCAGAGATGTGTCTCCGAAGTGATTCTGAATCCTGTCAAGTTGGCATCACAGGTACATGCAGAGGTACCGGGACAGCAGAGTGCAAGCATCCTGCCTGGGACTTCTGTTCCAGAATGGGACACTGACATGAGACCTGTCTCTTCTGTACTGGGAGAAAGGCATCCTGGGACGCAGCCCTACACCCCCCCCGCCACAAGCCAAATAAGGCCTGTCTGCTTATTTGTACGCAAACACAGGTCTTATGAGTAGCATACATTTACATGTCAAACTTACCCAAAGTCAGTGTTAAATAATGCTGGTCATAGGCTAGCAAGGTGGCCTGTAACTTATAACAAGGCACTTGCTGTCAGACCTGAAGACCTGAGTTCAGTCTTGGGTCCCACCAAGTAAAGGGATGAACTGAGTCCTGCAAGTTGTCCTCGGACCTCCATGCATGAACAGCGGCACACCTGAGCCCACACACATGCACACAACAACAAACAAATAAACAGGTATGATATAAAACATTAAAAGTAATAGTGGTTGCCTTCAAAGTTTATAAAGGTAAATTAGGAATTATTACATTTTTATGCTACTCCGGTAGTATTTAGGAGTCTGGGGACTATAATAAAATTTTAAAGGAGTTTGCTAACATTTTACTGCCAAAGTCAGTACTTTCATTTCTTAGTACTGAGATCTCTACCCAAAGTCAGACAGTGACAACTCTTACCTTACTGATTTACATGGGTAGTGTTCTCGAATTTTGAAGTTGTCCAAGGATAGGACTGTGTTGCACTGTCCTAACACCAGGCTTAGGGATTCGAACTGCTCCTTAGTCCACAGATGTCTAAGAGGATTGACAGCTTGTTGGGGATTGTCACTTATTTTAGCAATTTCTTTGTAGCCTTTTGTCATACATGACATGGAGACCTTGTGTATGGCCGAGAAGACACTGGTGGCCAAGATGGTGGCCGACGGCATCCAGAACAAGGAGGCAGAGGTCCGCATCTTCCACTGTTGCCAGTGCATGTCCGTGGAGACCGTCACCGAGCTTACAGAATTCGCCAAGGCCATCCCAGGCTTTGCAAATTTGGACTTGAATGACCAAGTCACTTTGCTAAAGTATGGAGTGTATGAGGCCATATTCACAATGCTGTCTTCTCTGATGAACAAAGACGGGATGCTGATAGCCTATGGCAACGGCTTCATCACGCGTGAGTTCCTAAAGAACCTAAGAAAACCGTTCTGTGATATCATGGAACCCAAGTTTGATTTTGCCATGAAGTTTAATGCCCTGGAACTGGATGACAGCGATATCTCCCTTTTCGTGGCTGCTATAATTTGTTGTGGAGGTAAGTGGTTGACTTGATCTGCCGGTGTCAGGCCACTTAAAGGCTCCCGTCTTGAAGAGCCTGATGGTTGTCAATACAGGGCCAGCCTGGGTTCTGTTACAGTGAAGTGGGCACTGGCAGGAGGGGACAGCATCTGAGCCTGAGTTACCACTGAGTAGAATTAAATGGGAACTGTACCTGTTATAGGTTATGTGTTATTATTATGATATCTACAAATGTACATTGGTATATTACATAAAATATACTTGGTTGATAACATTATAATTATATTGAATATCATAAGCAGGTTAACAATGATGGATGGTAATATGATATTATGGATAGTCTTGCACTATTAATAATTATTACAGTTAGCTGGGCATGTTGGCACACTCCTTTAGTCCCAGCACTCAGGAGGCAGAGGCAGGCAGAGCTCTGACTTCAAGGCTAGCCTGGTCTACATAGTGAGTTCTAGGCCAGCTGGGGCTACAGGGAGACCCTGTCTCAAAAAGACAATAATAATAACAATAATAATAATAACAGCTAGACGATAGCCTACGAAGTGCAGTGCAGATGTAGCTCAATGTTGTCACTGTCAGCAGTACTTACACTAACATAGAGTGACAAGTATCAGCACTAACTGGAAGCAGTTGCAATGCTTGCCCTGCCAGAATAGATTACCCCAGGGAAGGAGGAGCCGGGCCTCTCTGGGGAAGCTGGCCCTGAAGCCCCAGATATTTGGCTCAGCATCGCCCTCCTTTAAATAGCCCTGTCTCTGGTCGAGAAAGGTCATTCACCTACTGTAAACCCAGATGACCTTGCCTGGCCTTGGCATGGACCTATGGGTGACAGTCCTTCCTGACTGCCAGGAGCCATTCTGCCCTCCATGGTTTACTCCGTCTGTGCCCTTGTCACCTACTGGCTGGATGGAAGACGTCCTTATGCTCCTGAGAACAATTCAGTTCTACAGTTGTCAGTGTCCTTCTGTGTGACGGAGGTGTAGCAGGGAGAGGAGGAAGCCAGAGCAGAGGTAGGCACGCACGGAATCTCACAACCACACAACCACGGTCCCCCCGGGAACACTGCTCTGTGGGACACATAGCGAGCTTGTTATGGTGGGGCTAAAATTATGATGGGTGGATTTCCTATCATTTACATTTTTTCTCTCAGTTTAAAATTTCTGGGGAGATAGCTCAGTCAGTAAAGTGCTGGCCACAGAAGTGTGAGGACCTGAGTTCAAATCCAGAATCCACACAGGAAAAAAAATAACACTGAGTGTGGGAGCAAACTTCATAATCCCAGTGCTGTGGAGGCAGCAACATGCAGATCCCAGGGGCCGGCTGGACAGCCAGTCTAATTTACTTGATGAGTTCCAGGCCAGGGAGAGACCTGTCTCTCAAGTAAACAATATGGATGGTACCTGAGGAACATGTGTGTGTGTGCGCGCGCGCGCACACACACACACACACACACACCTGTCGTTGTATTTATTTTATAACCCAAACCACTGAAGATAAAAATCCACATCATTAGCAGCCATTAAGGTCCTAGTGACAGGCAGATGGAGATTAAAGCGCACAGCTGATTGGATGGACTGGGACCTGAGACTGCCCCAGGCAGGCCAGCTGGTGTGGGCAGTGGTACACCTACCCTGCCCTTTCCCCACTCTGGGGGCTCCTTGTCATGCTGTCCAACCACAGTGCCCCGGCCCTGGTCACTTCTTGGTCCGCTCTCACCAGGGCTTCGTTAGAAGGCACCTGTAGTGGTCCTCTCTCTAAGGCACGAAGCTGAGTCTTTCAGAGCCACACACCTTAACTGCTGGTGGGAAACTCAATGCATGGCTTTGTCCTGAGAGAATCACTTCATTTTCCATATTATACAAAGCTGCGGCATGGCCAGGGTGCATGGCTGCCCCTCTCAGTTTGGGGGTCGACAGGTAAATCCAAAAGGAGAAGCTGTACCATAAGGGGATGAGAGGTGGCACTGTGGGCTGGTCCTGTGAGTAGGGAGGCGTGTCAGTCCTGTTCCCATCAGACCCAATGACTATGGAAGAGTCCCTCCGGCCTCCGTTACGTTGCCGCCTCAGCAGGTCTGCATGAAGCGGGCCCTCTTGGCTCCTCTGCTGACCAGCAGCTCTCCAGAGGCCACACTCAGATGTCTTTCTTCTTTTGAGCGTAGATCGGCCCGGCCTTCTAAACATAGGATACATTGAGAAGATGCAGGAGGGGATCGTGCACGTGCTCAAGCTCCACTTGCAGAGCAACCACCCGGATGACACCTTTCTCTTCCCAAAACTTCTCCAAAAAATGGTGGACCTCCGGCAGCTGGTCACCGAGCATGCACAGCTGGTACAGGTCATCAAGAAGACTGAGTCAGATGCGGCCCTGCACCCGCTGTTGCAGGAGATCTACAGGGACATGTACTGTTAAAGAGAGAGAGAGAGAGAGAGAGAGAGAGAGAGAGAGAGAGAGAGCGCCAGCACTGTCCATGGACCTCTGAGGTTGGCAGGCCCTGCACAGGAGAGACCAGAGCAGCAGGGAATTGCACAGATGGAGAGGACTGAGCCTAGGTAACCAGCCTCTGCTCCATCTTTCCCTTTCCAACTGGCACTTCTGAGAGTGAGCCTGCTGGTGATTGCAGGCTACTAGAATCCAGAAAACTACAGAAAATGACAGTCCCCAGTCTGATATTAACTGACCCAATGTTAATCAATGCCCAACTCTCTATCATGTTTGTAATTGGCCACTAATTAATGGGTAACATCAAAGTCCGTGTTTTGTTCCCTACCCCCCTTCCTTCTGGCTGTGTATACCCTTGTAATCCAAAAAAACGAATCAGCGCTTTTTAACCTTTAAAACCCTGAAAGACAGGATGTGGCCAGAGGCTATTTAAACATGACAAAAATATGTATTGGGAAGACTTGAGTTCTGTTTCCTAGCTCTGAAGAAACACAGTGGTCTTCATTTTAGCCATAGGAGTAAGAGACATCAAGAATGGATTGATAAGCTATCAAAATGCAGCCCCGTTGTCTTCTTGGTTCGGTTTACGTTTGGGGAGGTTACAAGCAATGTGTAAAAAAGCTTGTTTCCAGGCTTGCATAGACAATCCCAGAAAGCCAGATCTCAAGAAGCTGAAGGAGGTTTAAGCCAGTGTCTGATAAGCAGAGACAGGATGATCCCTACGCACCAAGTACTCTCTGTCTTGCACCTCTGTTCTTGTCCAGCTGCAACTGGCCCGGTCTGGCAGTGTGCGGGCTTGACAGGGATTCTAGGGACAAATTCACATTGATTTATAAACGTTTCTCCAGACCCCTTTTGGCAGCTCCTCTGTCCTCACTGTGCTCCCTTTGAAAGTGACACTTTGTATTTTTTTAAAACTCTTGGTGATAGATGCTCCCTGGAGGGGAGGAGGGAAGAGTGACTTTAGCATCCAGGCTGGGAGGGGCTGTTCACCCTGGAGAACAAGACGAAGTGAGAGACCCTTCACCTAGTAGTCGTGCCCAGTCCCAGATTTCACAACACTTGGTTATTATTATTTTTGTTTTACAAAGAATTAGATGGTCAAGTTCTTTTCCCACCATATACAAGATATAGTTTTTTCAACGTCTAAAATACTACTTTTAGCCCTAAAGATCAACTCAGCCGCCAGTCCGCTGGGAAAGCAATATTGGCTGCCTTATGATAAACTGTTGCACAAGGAATTCACAGTGGTCCCTCTGCCGGACCTCAGGGAGCCTACTGGCACCTGGCCTCCAAGGGGTGGCTGCACATTTCAGACCAGGTCCGGCCTTTTGCAGCTCCCTCACCTGTAGAAAATTTGTCTCTTCTGAGATTGTCATTATTTCTTGTTAAAGAATGTTCAGAATTAGGGTTGGAGAGATGGCTCAGCGATTAAGAGCACTGGCTACTCTTGCAGAGAACCTGGCTTTGGCTCCCAGCACCCACATAGTGGCTAAAAATCGTCTGTAATTCCAATCCCAGGTGATCCAACGCCCTCTTCTAGCCTCCTCAGGCATTGCACTAAAATACATGCAGGTGAAACACTCATACACATTAAATTAATAATTTTTAAAAGGATGATCAAGCTGGGCGTGGTGGCTCACGCCTTTAATCCCAGCACTCAGGAGGCAGAGACAGGTGGCTACAGGGAGACCCTGTCTCAAAAAAACCAAAAAAAAAAAAAAAAAAAGGATGATCAAGATTGATACTGGCAAGGGGCAGGGATGTAGCTCAGTTGGTAGAGGGCTTGCCAGCCTCATGAACTCCTGGGTTTAAGGCCAAGCACTGCATAAAACTGGGTGTGATGGTGCCTGTAATCCCAGTGCTAAGGAGGTTGAAAGTTCAAGGTCATCCTCAGATACATATTAAGTTCGAAGTTGATCTTGACTGCATGAAATCTTGTTTCAAAGAAAAAAAAAGATTGATGCTGAGAAAATACTCAAGATCAGCACCATGACATTTTTGGCTAGGAACAAAGTGAAACAAGATCAGGACATGGTTTTAAAGATGGGCACACTTGTGAGCTTGCTTCCTCCCTTCCTCCTCCCTTCCTCCTCTCTCTCTCCTTCCTCCTCTCACCTTGCACTGATTCTGGAAGATCCTGCTTTTGAGTCGCATGGCTTGTCTAGTCCCTGCCCCTTCCTGTGGGGCTAACTCCCCTGCTAGGAGAGCACAGGGCTGGGGCTTGTCCTGCGTTTGGGGGTCACAGGCTGTTATTTCATCTAAAGATTAGCTTAACAATACTCCCCACTGAGCCAGTGTGTTCCCCACTCTGTGGAACACAGTAGCTTCTGTGGTTTTGCTCCTGAGGGGTAGGCTCAATAGGCAAGGGTGCGACCCCTTCTCAGGGTAGAATGCAAGATGCCAGTGCCACCACCCTACCTGTCACCAGTCTGGGACCCCTGACAGACCCAGCCATCGAGTCTCCGTCAGCTTCTAGTCATTTTCAATCTGAGTTTCAGTAGAGTTGGTTGCTTTGCTCCCCGCAGAGACCCCCTTTGTCAGGGGAGAGAGGCTGCATAGTGCGATTCAGACATGACACATCCTTCCGGGGTCCCGTGCCAACCACGGTGGACCAAACTGCATCCACGGTCAGTGTCATATCTTGACCAAGCAGCTGACAGCACTGGTACTTTAGTGATCGTCAGGTGCTTAGCTAGCCAAAAAGAAGAGAGGAAAAATCCAGTTTTACATATTAGCGAATTGAACTCTGGGGTCATTTTATTTTATTTTATCTTATTTAAAGGTTTGCCAGTTTGGGTCAAATGTGGAAACCCTCCAGTTCTCTATTGAGAAGGGAATAGACCAGCCTCTTTCTCTCGCTCGCTTACTTCCCCTCCCAGCATTAAATCCATTCGTTCAGTGGACAGGATGCCCTGTCTCGAGGGCCGGGGCACAGGCCACCCTGGTATTGCGAGGGCCCCCGGAGGTGGGGAGGCCAGGACAGGAGCAGGCCACCCTGTTGGCTCCCCAGCCTATAGGGGGCACTCAGGCACCTCTCCCAGACCTCCAGAACTCAACTCTGCTTTAAGCCACTTTGGGCCAGGCTTCAGGCTCTATCAGGGACTGGCTGGCCATTTCCAGGTAAAATTGTCACTTTGAGAAAATTCACTTTTTTAAAGGCACAGCCAGTTCCTAAACGATATGTACCTCACAATAGATTGCCATATAGCACCCTTTCTAGAAAGACTACAGTATTATTTGTGTTAAGTGTCACTACGTTCTCTACACTGAATGAAAATAATATTAATAGTTGTATCTTGAATACTATGATTTCAATTTTTTTTTAAAAAAGCACCCTGATATAAGTAGTTGACTAACTTGTGATCGTGTGTCTAATAACCATCTTCTGGAGTCTTTTAAGTCAGGAGTTCATTGCTGTGTATGTTATAAACCTGGCTCTTGAACCTGCTGGACACAGAGGAAGAAGAGAGAAGAACTCAAGTGCAACTGCCCATACGTGTGCCCCACCGAGCTGGTCACTGCTCCCGTCGCGCACCGCCCACTCCCAAGGTGTAACTCCGCACCTACAGTCACTTTCTTTCCGCAACCAGTTTGCTTATGTCCATTTCTACCAGCTGAGGCCTTCCCAACCTGGGCTGGAGGTCACCAACCTCACCCCACAGCGTTCTGAACAAGACCGTTGACTAGTCCCGCCTGGTTAACTAACAGTGGTTATCTGGTTAACAGTGGTCTGCTCTTCAGGGAATGACTACCTATGGGTTGTTACCAAAGAACTCCAGCAATCTGAACTCTTCTTGTGTCCCCCACGGCACGCCCAGTGTCCTGACTCATTTCTTCTTGGTGCGTCTTCTGACACCCTCTAAGACCCTGTGCCATTACACTAGAACACAAGGGGACAGACACAGGTGAGGGTGTGCACATTTCCAAAGCAAGTCTGAGCCAGGTTCCTGCCGCCTGCTCACTGCTGTCGTCAGTGCCTTGTTCTCTCAGACCTGGGGACTTGTGGCCCTTTCCTCTGTGGTAAACAGGCAGTTCTGATAGGATATTGTTCAGCTGGCCTCTCTGACCTTCCAGCTCTTTCTGGGTATGAGAACACCCAGGACCTCAGGAATCCAGGGTGTGCACAGAGGGCAAAGATAATTTTTCTAGTCACATGCACTGATTGGTTCCAGGCAATTAGAAAATGGCTGTAACATAACCTTAATTATTTTTTAAAATCTTGGGCCTTTTTTGTTTTCCCAATAGGAGATTGAACTGGCTGTATGTATTGATTTATATCCTGAATTTATGGGAACTTACGTTTGGAATGTCCTACTGTAAGACTGATGAATGTAAAGAGTTAATTTCAGGGTACAGTTCTGCCTTAATGGTTTTAAAAAATAAACTATTTTTAAAGCTTACATTTTGCATAATGCTGAGACAAGGCTGGTGTGCACAGACCAGGCCCCGGCTGTGGGGTGTGCTTTGCACACCTACCTCACCATGCTTTCACATAAAGGTCCCTTTTTGTCCTTCAGTAGGTAGAAGGAATTTGGGACCGTGTAACCCAAAACATGACATCTGTGCATCCTAAGTACATGAAACAGGAAGCTTTTAAAAGTGCAGGCATCTGGGGCTGGAGAGATGGCTCATCGGTTAGGAGCACTGGCTGCTCTTACAAAGGACTCAGGTCTGCTTCCCAGCATCCACATGGTGGCTAAGAAGTGGTCCCTAACTCCAGTTCCAGGCGATCTGATACCCTCTTCTGACCTCCACAGGCATTGCATGATACGGGTGCACTTACACACATGCAGGCAATAAAATAAAAATAAATTTTTTTTTTAAGTATGGACATCTGCTGGACATGGTTAACGCACAAGTTTAGTCCCAGCACTCAGGAGGATCTCTGTGAGATGGAGGCCAGCCTGGTCTACCTAGTTAGTTCCAGGCCAGCTGGAGCTATAGGGAGACCCTGTCTCAAAAAATAAAAATAAAAAAGTATGGGCATGTTAAAATAAAATCCAGAACACATCAGTCAGAAAAGGCTCTTCATCGCTCTCCCCAGACATCCCTCAGCGATTATAACATAAGGCAGGACAGCCTCATCTTCACCAAAATTGAACAGAACCCAAGAGCCTGTAGACCCCATGTCGTCCACATCTGCATGCTCGGAGGTTGGACTTCACAGGGACTGAGGGATTTTGAGAGGGTGCATGAAGGAAGCCTACAGCATGTGGCTTGGGGGCTCATGAGAAAGGAACTGGGCCTGAGCTGGGGCAGGCACCATAGGTCACAAAGGCCAGAGGCTGACGTCAGCTTCCCCGGGATCTATGGGATCCTCCTTATCCAACCCCCCCGCTAGCCACAGTGTCTGTGGGATTACCTTCCCTGTGGCTGATACAGTGTCCGTGGAATCTTTGTAACCCACTGCTGGTCCAGACAAGAGGAATACTGACTGTCCAAGTGTGTCAGTGAAAGGGTTACTCAAACCATTAGCTGATTCTTTGAGTTTTTAATTATAAATATAATACACAACCAGGCTTTAAAACATTTCCCAGGTGTCACACGGCCGGAAGTAAATCTCTATGCCGTCCGGCCTGCTGCAGGTACAGCTTCAGATGCTGATTTCCTTAGAGACAAATGACCATGTTACTGAGAAGTCCCTGAGCAGCTGGGTGTCTCCCCACAGGTACATATACAAGAGGTGTCAGCCAACTGTCCACCGGAGGGCCTCCCTCTCCCTCACTCCAGCCGGCTGGTCTACTCCTGATGTCCCGTCCTCACGTGGCTCCCCAGTCCCTGGGGCTGCAGTGCTGTACACAGCAGTGCAGAGAAGGCCAGATACACAGCTCCCAGCTGAGGTCCCAGGCAAGCCCACAGTGCTACACAGCGCATTGTGCCCTCCCACATCAGGGTTGGCTGGAAGGCCTCTGGGACGGAGTTCTCCTCTTCAGGTCTTGCTGGATTTCCTCAGGGAAGGCACTGATGTTCTCCTGGACGCAGGGGAGGCAGAACCTCCTGGAGTAGAACAGGCTGCACTCCTGAGGGAGAGAGCAAGGCTGGAACACTGGGGACATGGCACTGGGGTCCAGCACGAGCCCTGGACCACATGCGGGAGGCTGGCCAGGGCCCCCAGAAGGCACAGGGAGAGGCAGCAGCCACAGAAGGGGCAATGAAGGCCTGGCCACATACAGGGGAGTAGCTGGGATAGGACAGAGACTCCTGGGGGCTCTGCTCTGTCACAAGGAAAGCAATGCCAATGGGTAGGAAGCTGCAGCCTAGGTCATGTTCAGAGGTGGACAGGAGCTTGGTGATTACCTGGTGCAGCAAGGGACGGAAGGGGCAGCCCCACAGACTAAAGGGGCCACAGCTGAGTGGCTGGTTTGAGCAAGAGGTAATGCCAATGGGTAGGAAGCTGCAGCCTAGGTCATGTTCAGAGGTGGACAGGGGCTTGGCGATTACCTGGTGCAGCAAGGGACAGAAGGGGCAGCCCCACAGACAAAAGGGGCCACAGCTGAGTGGCTGGTTTGAGCGAGAGGCCAAGAGCTGTCCAACAGTGTTTTCCTCCACAGCTTTCAATGCTGTAACTGCGGAGGTTCCTGGCACCCAGTGCCCAGCTTGGGGCAACATCACCTGGTCCCCCTTTGTGACTAGAAATGGCCACATGACTAAGTCTTGTGGGGGGTGGTCATTGGCATCTAGCCACCTCCTGCTCACACCTTTCAAAGGAACAGGGATGTGCTCCCCAGTCCCTTCCTGCTGGGTGAGATGAAAATGTGATGGCTGGTGGAGCCAGGCGTGGTGGTGTATGCCTTTAATCCCAGCACTTGGGAGGCAGAGGCAGGCAGATCTCTGTGAGTTCAAGGCCAGCCTGGTCTACACAGCAAGTTCCAGGCCAGCTGGGGCTACAGGGAGATCCTATCTCAAAAAGACCAAAAAAACAAAAAACAAAAAACAACAAAGAACTGCAGGTGTGTTATCATGCTAGCACACTATTACTTCTTGAAGTTCTGAGAAGCAATCCCTTGTCATGGAGATCCCCTTGCTAAAAAACTATTTAGTTTAATCAAAGAAAGGGGAAGATGCCTGGGGCCACCCCTACTTCTGCTCACCAACAAATCTAAGGGGCACCATCTGAGGCTTCTCAGAGATTAGCCCAGTCCGCCTTTCTAGGCTTAACTTCCCAGGTGTTCTCTGTGAGCCTCAAACACCCACTTCCCTATTTTCCACTCCAGCCACCATCCCATCACCAACTGGACAGCAAAAGGAGGCACTGTTCTTGGCACGCCTGTGCTGAGACTCCCCTTGTGTGCACTGTACCCCTAACAAGTGCTTGGAGTCTTCAGACTCCAGGTCCACTCCAAGCCCACAGCTTGGAATCCATCTCTACTCACCCAGCATTAGAATCCATCTCTACTCACCCAAGGCTAAGACCCCCCGCCCGCCCCACACTGCCCTCACTGGCCCCTCCCCAGTACCCAGCTGGCCTCTGGCACATGCCTTTAATCCCAGCACTTGGGAGGCAGAGGCAAGCAGATCTCTGTGAATTCAAGGCCAGCCTGGTCTACATAGCGAGTTTTAGGCCAGCTGGGCTACAGGGAGACCTTGTCTCAAAAAAACAAAATAAAACAAAACAAAACAAAAGAAAACAACCTCCATCCTCTCCCCACCTGGTGACTGGAAGGTTCCCAGAACCCTAAGGCCAAGTAATATACCCACCGGGCCCACACACACCAGTTTGCCACACATGCTGCACCGTGCACCAAGGACCAGGAACTTGGCCTTGTCCAAGGAGAAGGGATCCTTCATAATGTAGCTCTCCTCCAGAAGGCTGCAGGAAGGAGGGACACTCAGCTGTGAGCCATGGCAGGGCTGTGCAGCAGCAGCAGGAGTCTGGGGCCCTCACATCCACCCAGACTCAGCAAGCTGGACCAGTCTGCCTGCGCTAGCTACATAGCTGTGGCAGAAAGGCCAGCACCTGGAAGACAGAACTGAAATATGACCAGTCTTGGCTCTGTAAGGTGCCCCTCAGTGCACCTCAGAGCCAGGTTGACTCACTAAGGGGGTACCTGACAACCCCAGAAGCACCCTCTGCCCTGTCCCACATCTCACCCACCCGTACATCAGAGTAAGAGCAGCAGAGTGACATGATGACTCAGGTAGGCAGAGGAACTGGAGCCTGGACCTGCCTACTGTGTCCCACTTAAGTACCACACTGGCCAGCATTCCCATGGGGTATTTGATGAAAAATGAACTACAGGCCAAGAAACAAGTCCAGGACCATCTCTGCTCCCAACTTACAAGGGGCAGAGCCTTGAGGAGCTGGTCCTCAGGAGCTGTACCCTGCCTAGAAAGTGTCACCAGCAAGGATAGCAACAGGCCACAGTCCTACATAAAGAAGCCACCATGCTCCTGAGTTGGCCTGAGCCACAGGGCTTCTGCCCCATAGCTGGAGTAGGTGTCTAACTCTTAGCTGCACCTTCAGGGATGGGCTGGGGCTCCTGGCAGTCAAGCAGGCTTCTTACATTGCCTGAGGCCTCTTCAGGCTACATCTGGAGCATCTAGAGCCTAGGCAGAGGCAGACCTACAGCACAATACCCAAACCAGGTGTCACAGCCCACATGCCACCTGCCAAGCAACCCTGGGCAGAACCTCCCAAACACTGACCCAGAGTGCGTACTCACACAACAGCCTGGGTATCAGGGGGCTTCTGCCCCACGTAGCTGTATGGAGCTGTCAAGGCACAAAGCTGGCACTCAAACATGCCCAGGGGGTGGGGCTCTGCCTGGGACACCATCTGCAAGGCCAAGAGACAGGGGCATCACAACTGAACCAAGAACTATCCCACTTCAAACCACCTCTGCCCACTCATGTCTTACCCACAAAACACAAGCCCCCTTCCATACAAGGAACCTCAAGTTCACATTAGTAACACCTGCTCATGTCACACAGGATTTTCAAGTGCACAAGATGGACTGTTCCTGGGCTAGTTTATAAAAGAATGTTCTCTGGAGCTGGAGAGATGGCTCAGCGGTTAAGAACACTGGCTGTTCTTGCAGAAGACCCAGGTTCGAATCCCAGCACCCACATGGTGGCTAACAACCATCCATAACTCCAGTTTTAGGGGATCTAATGCCTTCTTCTGACCTCCAAGGCACTGCACAACACAGGTGCACTTACATACATGCAGGCACACATAACACTCATACACATAAAATAAAAATAAAAATTTAAAAAGCAATGTACTCCATCCCCTGCATACATAAATTGGATAATATCCTTTTTTACATTTATGTATTTATTTACTTGGGGGGGTGGCACATGTCCCATAGACTATGTGCAGAGGTCAGAGAGCAACTTATAGTTCTCGTCTTCCACTATGTGGATCCTGGGGATTGAACTCAGGTCATCAAGATTTAGCAGTAAGCACTTTTGACTCCAGAACCAGCTTGCTGGCCCAAATCTTTATGCATTTCTATTTATTTTATGTGGTGTACATGTGCCATATAAGGCACATCTGAAGTCAGAACTCTCCTTCCACCACATGGATCTGGGCATCAAACTCGGGTCAGGATTGGCAGCAGACACCTTTACCCGAGGAGCCATCTCACTGGCCCCAGTTGGGATAATCTCTATAGACCTATGTTCACATGCTCAAACTTCATTCAAACCAACCAACAGCCTTTTGAAGGCAGTCTTCATCCCTGCTGTTTTGTTGTGGTTTTTTCCTATCATTTCCTTCTCTTCTGACCCCCAACTATCTTTGCAAATTATGTGTCCTTTTTAACTGGGCTTAACACATTAACCATGCTTATTTTAAATTTCCCACCTGGGGGACTGGAGAGATGGCTCAGTGATTAAGAGCACTGGGTGTTCTTACAGAGGACCCAGGTTTGAGTCCCACATGGCAGCTTAACAACCATCCATAACCCCAGTTCCAAGGGAATCTGATACCCTCTTCCGACCTCCGTGGGCGTTGCATGACACAGGTACACTTACATACACCCGGACAATACACTCATACACATAAAATAAAAATATCTTTAAACCTCCCATCTGATACGTTCACTCTGAGTCATACCTGGTTTTAGATCTATTGGTTATTTTGATTCTTGACAGAAGATTGTTCCTTTGGTCTTTCTTACACAGGTGTTTTTATATGCATGCAGGCCAATACACTCATACACATAAAATAAAAATATCTTTAAACCTCCCATCTGATAGGTTCACTCTGAGTCATACCTGGTTTTAGATCTATTGATTATTTTGATTCTTGACAGAAGATTGTTCCGTTGGTCTTTCTCGTGTCTGTTAGGGTTGTAAGCTGAATTTGTAAGGTAGTAGGGGTAAGCAGTATTTGGGCTAGAGAATGGATTTGTGTGGCAGGCCTTTGTTGTGTGGTAAGGAATTAATCCAGTCAATCATTGAGGTGGGTTGGGGGTTTCCTGGCTGCTGTTACTGGCTTCAAATTTCTCTAGCATTACTTGTGCTTAGGTGTGATATGTTGGCCTCTCAGGTGCTGTTTCAGGACAGGTTCAAGTGTACTCTGAGCTTCCATTCCTTTTCCTGGATGCAGGACATTTTCACTTGCCCTAGAGCATTCTTCCCTGCCATTTCCCGGAAGTATGAGATTCCCATGGGCTCTCCTGGTTCACTTAAGGTGTCTGGTATACAGTATTTCATTAAAGCTTTTAGCTGTTTGGCGCTCCCCCACACTTCCATCTGTCTAGGTCTCCCAGGCCCTGTGCTCCTTAGATTACTGGCTAGGTGCTCCCTCTGCAATCGCAGCTGTGTGGTGAGTTCAGGAAACCACAGGATCCCTAAATTACTCAGCATTGTTGGAATTCCTACTCACCTGTCGTGTCTGTTAGGGTTGTAAGCTGAATTTGTAAGGTAGTAGGGGTAAGCAGTATTTGGGCTAGAGAATGGATTTGTGTGGCAGGCCTTTGTTGTGTGGTAAGGAATTAATCCAGTCAATCATTGAGGTGGGTTGGGGGTTTCCTGGCTGCTGTTACTGGCTTCAAATTTCTCTAGCATTACTTGTGCTTAGGTGTGATATGTTGGCCTCTCAGGTGCTGTTTCAGGACAGGTTCAAGTGTACTCTGAGCTTCCATTCCTTTTCCTGGATGCAGGACATTTTCACTTGCCCTAGAGCATTCTTCCCTGCCATTTCCCGGAAGTATGAGATTCCCATGGGCTCTCCTGGTTCACTTAAGGTGTCTGGTATACAGTATTTCATTAAAGCTTTTAGCTGTTTGGCGCTCCCCCACACTTCCATCTGTCTAGGTCTCCCAGGCCCTGTGCTCCTTAGATTACTGGCTAGGTGCTCCCTCTGCAACCGCAGCTGTGTGGTGAGTTCAGGAAACCACATGATCCCTAATTACTCAGCACTGTTGGAATTCCTACTCACCTGTCAAGGTCCCCTTCCATCCCACCCAGGATGCACACTCCCCCGAACCTGGGGTGTGCTGCCTGTCAAGGTCCCCTTCCATACCACCCCAATGCTCCTCTGAACCTGGGATGGGCTGCCTGTCAAAGTCCCCGAACATCCCACCCGGATGCACGCTCCTCTGACCCTAGGGTCTGCTGCACGTCCCTGCAGTTCTGAAGAAGGAGCTACGGAGCTGGACCATGTGCAATGATTTCTGAAACAAAACTCTATTCTGGGTGCGCACGTCCCAGGCCCTCGCGGAGCAGCGGGTGACAGTTGGCGGTCAGGGGGACCTGCGACCTCCGCAGGATCTGCCCCTCTCCCAGCTCCCTCGCGGGTCTCCGGGTACTCCAGGCTCTGCCTGGAACCGTGGACACTCGCGGCAAGCGGCAACCCGCCACCCGCCACCCGCGCGCACTCACCGCTTCCCACTGCAGCCGGGGCCCTGCTCCTCACAGCGCCCCCCCCCCCCGCCTCTCCCCTCCCCTCCCCTCCCCAAAGCGCTTGCGCAGCTCCGCCCTGGCCCGCTGGGGCCTGCGCTCGTCGCCTAGCAACTTCCGTGCCCCGGCCTCGCCTCAGTCGCCTCATCCCATTACGCCTGCGCGGTCCCGCCCTAGGCCCCCAAGGCCCCGCCCCCTAGCAACTGCCCGGCCCCGCCTTACAGGCCTCGTTTCATAGCGCCCCAGGCCTGGCCCCGCCCCGGCCTCCATCAGCGCCCGGGCTTCGCCTCTCTGCGCCTGCGCGGCCCCGCCCCCAGGCCTGGCTCTGGTCCCGCCCCGCCCCC